CCTGCCCCGCCGACCTCACCCAGAAGAGAGAGCTGACAGGTACGTCCCTGGCCCCCCGAGCCAGCGGGGAGCCGGGGCGGTGATGGAGCAGCAAAGCTGGCCGGGGGTGCTCTGTCCCCACGGGTGGGGAGGGGGGTGCTGGGGGATGCCAGGGTGCTCGTGGGGAGAGATGCAGCCTTGTCCCCTCCGGGTGATGTTGTGGATCTCCGTTGCAGATGCCGAGAGCCGAGCCCTGGCGAAAGAGCGCCAGAAGAAAGACAATCACAACCTGAGTGAGTTTGGCACTGGCTGCCCGCAGGTGGCACAGCTTTCCCTCTCCCACCCCCGCAGCCCTTTCCCCATCGCCCTCCATCCTCGTTCCCCTCTCTCCGAGCCGGGTCCCCCTTCCCATCCCATCTCGCCCTGAGGAAATACCCCCACAGCCCCTTGCCATGGCTCCCTCTTTCCCGGCTCTGCAAAACGTCTGCGGTGCAGGAGACACCCTGTTGTCTTTCTTGTCAGCACTGGGGGAAGGTCAGGCCAGCCGGGGCGATGGACAGAAGCAAGGTGCCAAAGGGTTGGCCCCAGAGGTTTCTCATCCTGAGCCCCCCGACTCCGGAGGGTCTGGCCTGGGGCACGACGGTGACTCCCAGCCCCACGAGCCGGGAGCAGCAGCGTGGCGAGTGGGGTCGGCGGGACATTGAGCCTCTCCTGCTCTTGCTGCTTCCTCACTGCCTTCCTTCTCTTCTCACCCTGCAGTCGAGAGACGGCGAAGGTTTAACATCAACGACCGCATTAAAGAGTTGGGGATGCTGATCCCCAAGGCCAACGACCTGTACGTATCAGTGGTTTCTGCGGGGCTGGGATAACTGCGGGTCTCGTGGGCTTGCTCGATGCTCGGCCCCATGGCAGGTGATACTTGCAGAGGGGCTTTTTGGTGGAGCAGGGGTGAGGGGACATGTTGCTGGCATGCAGGTGGCAATCTCTTTTTCCATCCTGCACGGCAGAGACGTGCGCTGGAACAAAGGGACAATCCTGAAGGCGTCTGTGGACTACATCAAGAGGATGCAGAAGGACTTGCAGAGGTCACGAGACCTGGAGAATCACTCACGGCGTCTGGAGATGACGAATAAGCAGCTGCTGCTCCGCATCCAGGTGAGCTTCCCTGTGCTCTTCCCTCCCTCCGCTCTGCTCCAGCCACACAAGCAGCTCACTCCTGCCCCACCGAGGGGACGGGCAGGGGCTCTCTCCCTCTGACGGCTGTCAAGTCGCCAGGAACAAAGTCTTCAGACAAACCAGACGTCTGAGGCTCAGGTCACCACAGCGAGTGTTGTTGAGCTTTGCATGGGTCGCCATTTTATACCCTTCAGCTCTTCCGCGGGCTCCTTCCCTGTGAGCTTCTTGGTCCCTCTGTCCCTGCCATCTCCGTGGATGCCCGTGTGCCGTGTCCCCGTGTGTGACGTCCCCACCAAAGACCTCCTGTGCTCTGTTGGCAGGAGCTGGAGATGCAGGCACGCGTCCACGGGCTGCCCACCTCCTCGCCCTCGGGCGTCAACGTGGCCGAGCTGGCTCAGCAGGTGGTCAAGCAAGAAGCCGGCGGGGAAGAGGGGACGCCGGGGCCAC